AACACGCATTTTAAAAGGTTTTTCTCCTGCCGTCTGTCTGCAGACTTGTCAAAGCATTAATTCATGGTTTTCACTAACCGGTATCAGTATGTTGTTACTTCGGCATCATTTTGAAACGTGTATTACAATTAGATCACGGTCAAATATGTTCATTTTGTTGTAGTTGTAGCCCCCTTGCCAGCGATTCTCTCACTAGTTTAGCATACTCAGCCCGGTTGTTGGACCGGGAAGAACCTCGATTTTGGAGAGCCAGAAAACGGTGAAACTGTACCCGCTAGCCGGAACTACGCCTGGTGGAAACGCAACCAAAAACGGGCCGGGCACGGCACGCTTAAACCGTGCTACGCGCTGCAGTGGAAATGCGCAATGAGAGTCAGGTGTTTACCTTGTTCACCACCACGTTGTCGCCTTCCTTTAGTTTAACCGGGTCTATCTCACATGTTTTGTTGGATTCACAGATCTATAGAAGACAAAACAACAACAGTCAGGCCTGATCAATGAGAAATCACTGATTGAGATTTCTGTGTATAATGCAAATGTTTTCCTATTTTCTTGAAATTTAAAAAGGACATTAACAGGGGATCAAGACATTTTTCAGACGTCTCTAAACTAAAAATATGCCCTTTAACATGAAGCAATATTAAATCAGAACGAATAAAATATAGCACATTTTGAAGATGCAGGTAGTGTTAGTGTGTTAGTGTTAGTGGAAATGCAGCTGTGTGTGAGTGAGTGAGTGAGTGAGTGAGTGAGTGTGTGTGTATGAGCATGTGTGAGTGAGTGTGTGTGTGTGTATGAGCGTGTGTGTGTGTGTGAGAGGGTGAGCGTGTGTGTGTGAGCGTATGAGTGTGTGTGTGTGTGTGTGTGTGTGTGTGTGTAAGGGTGAGCGTGTGAGCGTGTGTGTGTATGAGCGTGTGTGTGTGTGTGTGTGTGTGTGTGTGTGTGTGTGTGTGTGTGTGTGTGTGTGTGTGTGAGGGTGAGCGTGTGTGTGTGTGTGAGGGTGAGCGTGTGTAAGGGTGAGTGTGAGCGTGTGTGAGCGTGTGTGAGCGTATGAGTGTGTGTGTGTGTGTGTGTGTGTGTGTGTGTGTAAGGGTGAGCGTGTGTTTGTGTGTATGAGCGTGTGTGTGTGTGTGTGTGTGTGTGTGTGTGTGTGTGACCGAGTGTGTGTATGAGCGAGTGTGTGTATGAGCGTGTGTGTATGAGCGTGTGTGTGTGTGAGAGTGTGTGTGAGCATGTGTGTGAGCATGTGTGTGTGTGTGTTCTTCATACCTCATCTATTACAGGCTTCAGGGTAACAGCCAGGTAATTCTTTCCCACAATCTTCATCATGTCGTCGATGCAGCGTGTTGCCAGTGAGTTGCCACGGAATATAGTGTTAGCCTCCCTGTGAGGACACAACAACAAAATCAATCAATACGTACATTATATACAGGTTTGACAACATTTATTATTTTAACAACAAAACAGATTTTGATTCCAAAGCTTCTCACATATATTTGGATAAATTCTCATGTCACTTTACAACTTTGATGACAAATACTTAATTTAGTTTTTATACATTTGAATTTTTATCTTATCCTTATTGCATATTCTTGCATTACAGTATTTGTATTCTATTTTTTTGTATGTATCTTTTATGTATTTAATTCTCAAGTAAATCAACTGTTACAAAACCCGATGGAATAAAAATATTCTGATAATTAATGACAAATCGATAAAAGAAATCCTCAATTTGAGTAAAGTGATTCTAGTCCAGTAACACGTTTATCAAAGTTAAAAAATAAATAAAGATACAGTGAGAATCATCCAGACTTCCCATTTATTGTTTTTCAGAACTACTTCCCGTTTCTAATTTCACTTTGATTGCATTATGACAGCCGGTACAAATGATGCATGAAAATAGAACAATAACACCAACGTTGTGGAGAAAAAAGGGAACTTAACTTTAGGGTTAAGAAAGGTTACAGAGTAGACCATGATAATAATCTGTAAGCATGTACTGTATGTTTGTGTGTAAACTCACTGAGTGTTTTCCAGCTCCAGCGCTGCCACCGCAGAGATGAAAGGCACAAAGCGGTTGTGGTGGAGCAGCAGTCGGACCGTGGGCAGGACCGCCTCGTAGCGCTCTCTGCAGATGTCCCCTAAGATGTGAGCGGCTGACGCCGAGATGGGCTGAAGGAGGCCGGGAGAAAGAGGGGAAGGTGAGAGGGGGAAGACATGAAATACATAGGTGGCTTTTCATTATGCTAAAGCAGGGGTGTCCAAACTTTTTTCACTAGAGGTACATCGCCTCATAGGTTCAGTTCTAAGTTAGAAAATCAATCAAATGAAGGTAAATGATGCTTGTGATGCTCGGATTGATTATAATAAGGAGAAATAGGAAGGGTGTATTTCAACCTTGTAAATAAGTCATTGGGCTTTTTTCTTATCAATATGTTAGAAAATGTTTCCAACTTCAGATGACTGAATTTATTTGAAAAGTGATCTCATTAACACATGAATACTACATACTTGCCAACCTTTAGACCTCAGAACTCAGGAGCATTTCAAAATGCAAAATGGTGGATCGCTGGGGGGGGGGGGGTGCTAGTGGGTTTGACGGAGCTGTTAGATTAACATTAACATGCTTATTGTAGTTGTAAGTACACTGCCTTGCGGGCTGTATCACCGTCCTTGATGGAGCATATGTGTGGGCTGGACCTGTATTATACAGGAAAGGAGTGAGCAGAGAGTAGAGTAGTTGTCGATTCTTGTTCTGTTTTCTGTAAATATCTGCCTCATCCTCTCAGACTTTGAGTTGCGCGCGCTACTAAAGAGACGTGTTACCATGGAAACCAAACAATGGTGTAGCTGTATTAAAGTCCGAGTGGAAACAGTCGTGTGTAAATCTGATTTTGTCAGAAATCGGGAGAAATGCGGGAGAAATATGACCCCGGGAGGAAACCGGGAGAGGGCTATGAAATCGGGAGTCGGGAGTGTCCCGCGAAAATCGGGAGGGTTGACAAGTATGGAATACTACCGTGTAATATATGTTTACATATTACATGTTACTTGTTATTTATCCAAAGCGACTTACATACTCAATACTGTGGACAATCCCCACTGGAGCAATTTGGGGTGAAGTGTCTTCAGGGACACAACGACATGCTGACTGCAGTGGGGTTTGAACCTATGGTTTGAACGTATGACCCCCTGATCCGAACACCCACGGACAACCCACTACGCCACACGCCCCGCGTATATATATATATATATATTTAAGAAGTACAATATAAGACAAGCACAAGTTTCCTTTGGGGGCCGTATTCCATTATACTTTTAGAATTTGCTGAGGGCCGATTCAAAATGGCCCGCGGGCCGCAGTTGGACACCCCTGTGCTAAAGTGTCTTGCAGAAGATGGGCTGAAGGAGGCCGGGAGAAAGAGGGGGAAGGTGAGAGGGGGAAGACATGAAATACATAGGTGGCTTTTCATTATGCTAACGTGTCTTGGAGATGCCAAGAAAAGAGGCGAGGATGAAGGAGCCGAAGCTGCCAAATGAGAAATCCTTGGTGCCGTAGCTCGATCATTAAATATACCACAGGAATATTTGAAAAAGTGGGTACAAGTACTAACATTGGCACATTAACTCCTACTATAAGCCTGTTAGCCATTGAAAAAGAAATCCAAGATGGCCACCACTGATTGGCAAAAAAATCACTTTCCCTTTATGAATGACCTTAGTGTCAAATCAAATATTATTTAATCACGGAGAAACTGAATGTAGACCTCAGGAATGACTCAGAAGCCTCTATGTGACAATATGTAAGTCACACAATCAAAATAATCTACAAATGGAAAACTGGGTAGCCTGAAATGCATGGTAGTTGAGGTGGTGGAGGTCATTTGTTTGTAGGAGTACTGTAGAGGTAGTACTACGCTGGAGACATCACTGCTACAAAACTTGGGGTTCAGTGTCAGCTAGCTCATTTTGCATTAGTATTAGTGTAGTGTCCCAAATCCTAGTATTTTAACATGTTGTGTTTAAAAAGGGCAGAAAACATGTTTGACCTTCCCATAGTAAAAAAAAAAACATACCATTAAATACGAAAATCACCAAAATTGATTCAGCGGTTAAAACTCCGTGGTAAGATGCTGGTTCCTTGGCAGAACAATTCAGTGTTCTTGAAATATGGGAATGTTTGTGCTTGTATCCACTTTTGAAAGGTCGTTACAGCAATCTGCTTCACCAACTGTGCCACACGTAGAGCAGGTCTGGCATTCAAACGTCACGCCACTTGCTAAAAGAATCACACGTAGTACAAAACTGGCTCTAAGCTCCTCTAAAAGCCTCCTCACTCTGAGGATTGAGAGGTGCATTTAAGGCGTTTGAAAATCCTCCACGATGGCAGAGAGGAAATGATTCCCGGGTCACAGGAGGAGAAAGGACACGAGGAAGCAATGAAAAGCACCCGTACATTAATGGCAATGAGAGAAGAAACAAACAGGGAGTATGAAACAACAAAGGAACAAAACTATTTGCAACTAATTGTATTTGTAACTAGGGACCATTTGGAAACATGTCTCTGATCATTGTGTGATTTTTTACATTACACTTCCTGCTATTAAAATATTGCACTTTGGATGAAATGTTGATGGATTGTGCAGCCCTTCTTGAAACATTTGAAATGAAAGGAAAGCGACATATCCATCAGGAACAATTGGATCCCAATGATCCGCAGAAAGGCTCTGGTGTCCTTTTCTCAGAAATATACACTTTCTTCTTTCAGGGGGTTTCCTCTCCGGTGTAACTTGAGCTCCTACCTTCACGTCGGGGGATTTGAGCAGCAGGTTGCAGAGCGGTGTGTAGAAGGCAGATGGCAGCACCGTGTCTTCGATGTATGTCAGCTTCAGACGCAAAGATCCCAGATCATCGGACTTTGACTTGCTGCCGTTCCCTTTGGGCTGGAGGAGATACCTGTTCAAAACCACAGGAACGCAGAACGTGCTGTGAGGATGTGCGGGGACAACAAATAACGCCGACTCTCTGGACACTTTCAAAAAACAACTCAAACACCATCTGTTCACCCGGGCCTTTGGCCTCAGCTAAAATACAGGACCCAGCAACCGGTTATTTTTTTCTTTTTCTAACCAGTGTATCCTTGTGACTATTATTATTTTGTTGTTTTGTTTCCCATTGTAAAGAATCCTTGGGTCTCTTGAAAGGCACTATCAAAATTAAAATTATTATTAAATACGTTTCCATGTCCCGATTAAACATCTCCTTAGAAATGGAGCTTGATTATAAAATAAAGCCAATCAAATAAATATAAGATATACATACATCAAATGATACATCGGTAAAAAACAAAAAATCGAAGAAAGGAGACGTTGGATGCTGCTGAAAACGTGTACCATTAATATCATTTTTTATACCTCACAGTTTGTCCAAATACAGGAGAGGTTGTGCAAACTAATACATTTCTGTCGTTGAATAGAAAAGATACATTAGCATCTCATCAAAGTCAATAAATGAGAGAAACAATTGGAAAACAAGTTTTTACAGATCAACATGTGGCACGTTTCCCCTCCAAAAGAAACATGTAAACGCATAAAACAAAACTGAAGATTCCTGAACGACTTCAGTTTAACTACATGAGTGTCTAATATATAAATGAACAGACTAACAGGGCTACCCAGATGCCCAGAGAAGGATTTGCACGGTGAGGCTCAAAGTGACTTAATGAGACTCCATAATGCTAATCTGAATCAGACAGCAGTCTTTGCCATTTTTTAAACTACCTTCCAGCTGTTTATCCACATGATGCAGTCGTTTACTTCTACTGTAATACTAAAAAGGAACATGTTAAATACTTGGCTCATATTTCTGCTGCATGCATTTCCTCCCTAAAGCCAACAGGTGGAGCAAGACACAAAGTGATGTAGTGCACAGTTACACAGCAGTGCTTTAAAAGCTGCAGCTACATACAGTAGACCCGTCTATAAGCCGCTTGATCTGTCATCAAGGTAAACAGGCGCAGAGACGCTCCCTAGAAGACGTAAACAGATCACCTGTCCTGATTTCATGAAGCTGAACCGCCTCAATGTGTGCACCATGGACCATTTCCAGCATAAACACAGGACAGGAGGTACTGCCACCACGCAAAGAGCCGCCCACACACTCCACTCACAGCCCTCATGTACTAACAGATTGCTATCTGGCATAATCCCACATCACCTACACTGACGCACAGCTAGGAAACACCCACACAAAATGAAAAAATGCTGAACACGGAGAAATCCGGGAAGATTCTTCAAACCATCGAGTAAAAGCAGGGAGAAACGTAACGGTTAAAGTTAAGCAGGGTGTGTTTCCTTCACATACAGACTAGAAAGTAAGTGTAAGACCTGATGCAGTCATGACCAGGCTATGAGGTTTATTGCCAACAAGTTAATACATTTATGAATTAGCACACCGGACTTCCTGGGCTTGATAACATTATTATTGTCTCGGGTGTTTCCACAGTCCATTACCAAAGAGAAAGGCTACCACTGTTTGTCCAGAGAAGTCTTTTTTTTCAAACCGCAGTCAACCAAATATCTGTCGGTGTATGAAAATGTTGCAAAGTTATTCTTTTATCTTGCCTGGAGATCTAGGAATGGCCTTTTCATTCTCAGCCATGGCAGTGCAAAAGGCCTTCAAGGCATTTGACTGCAGGAAGCCAACAGACTTTGCAGTGTATGTGGCAGAGTGACCGTTTAACCAAATGTCTTTTTCATTTATTTAAACTAATTTAATACAAATGTAATACACATTACAGTACCATGACTCCAACACATTATTAGCATAGATGAATAGCTTATTCCAAAAATAAATTGATGACAGTAACTCAACTTCATGTGACCCATGAGTGCAATCAGGTGAGCAAGTTACCCAGAATGACTAATATGCTTACCAATGAGTTTTTTAAATGTATTCAAATGTTTCCTTTGTTTAATGTTTTTGTAATACACTTTGAATTACCTTTATGTTAATGAAATGTGCTATGAAAAAAAAGTGCGTTGCCTAAACAAGTGTGCAAGTTGTTGTGTAAATTGTGTGACAGGAGGAAAAACGATTATAGCAGAAATATATATGTATAAATTAAGAGCAATGGCGCAGAGTGTTCATTTGTGTAATCTCAAGTTTTTAACGCCCGAGTTTAAAGACTTGATCAACTTCTTAAAAATGGGTTTGCTCAGAAATATCGAAAAAAATTCGGATTTATGCATGATAAGTTTACCGACGCTGGGGGACCGTAACTCAGGATAAGCCACCTGCAGAAAATGTGCAGGATGTGACGCACAGGCTACTTTATTTGATGAAATGTTAAAAACAGTTTTTATTTATTTCAGTGTCACAGCATCACCTCAAACTATAAGAGGTGATACATATGCAGGAATCCTGAAGTCACATGTAAAACCTTTTGAGACGCTTTCCAAACATTTTAAGACCTCATCGCCACTTCGAGTTTTAACCCGTTACCTTGGCGACACACTTTACCTCACATTGACTATACAGTATTGATTGTCCTTCCTCCTTATCTTCCAACCATTTGGACGCAAACTTGCATTTCCCCATAACGATGTTGTTTAGCAACCGGCGTAAACGGAGCTTCGCGCTATCAAGCAGTGAGCGCGCGATGTCCTGTTCAGATGACGTCAAATCCAACGGGATGCCATAAATAAACTACACAGAATCACACTACACACCTACGCAATGATTACATTCAGGCAGACTGTAGAATACAACCTCTTTGGACAA